GAACGAGGAAGACAATTTTATCATGTCTCCACCTGTTCACTCCCTAAAATTCTCAAGACAGCTGCATCTGTGAAGGTTAACCTCAAAATGACCTTAGATCAAAGGGTGTGAGTTGGTTTGGGGGGCAATAAAAGTCTCAGAGTTTACTACAGTCAGCTTTATTTGAAGTTCCTTTGACTCCGCCCCAAGCACGTTGGAAAAAGCGCCATTTCCCCTCGCCGGTTGGTGTGAATATTCATGAGCAGTAAAGCCAGGCAGAGTAGCAGGCATAATAAAAATGTCAGAGTTGTAAAGCACTCAAAGTAAAAAGCCGCCAAGAGCTCGGGCAAGTCACTCTGAATGTCAAATCTCCGCCCAGGGGTCTCTGGCCCGTTAGGACTATTGTGCTGACTAGCTTCCAACAGACGTGCCATACAAGTTTGTATGGCACATTTTCAGAATCGAAGGATCCTTTTTAGCTTGCAAAATCGGATAGGATTGGGGTGAAAAACACAATTTGGACGGATAGACTAGAGATGGAGGATGTGCTCTTAAAGCAGGGCAGTGCTACACACAGGCTGGGACTACTGCTAAATAACAGCTACACAAACAGCACAAAGTGAAAGAAATTGTGCAGTAATTCTGTTGGTATGACTACTCCCTTTTGTTCCAGCATTTTTTTAAAAGCTCTCAAATGTATTATGTAGCAACACATCATCTAATGCAAAATATTTTTTTAAATGTAGAATTACTTTCAGCTGCTAGCAACATCACCTGTGAGGTTTAGCTACATCTGCTGACACTTCAAAAGACTAACAGTTCTTGGATCCAGCATCCATTCATCAAATGTGTCATTAATAAATGCAAACTAAGTCAGCAACTAAGTAGAACCATCCTTAATGAGGTATTGAGTGTGTAATTAGCATGGAATAAATGCTTGCAAAAGAACAATGGTCTGTTTACTGCTGTGAAAAAATGATTAAACACAATTGTACCTGCAAAAAACTTGTGAAAAGAAAAGAAAGGAAGAAAGTTATTTAACTTCTTCTGAATAACTATGTTTATTAAGGGTTCATAAATTCAACTAAAACTTCCTAATTTTAGCTCTCATCATCATTTGTAAAATTCCATTCCAAAACCTTGGAGTGATGCTGACCCATAAAATTTTTTCTAAGGCACACATAGATATCTTTTTATTTGGAATACTACTCTTTGCATTCACACAACTTCACTAATAAGACATATATGGTGATTTTTTTTGCCTTGTACTTTATATTGTAATTGGGTTTATTTTAACCCAAAGGCTTTTTCCCCCTAAACCTAACCAAGCAGTTTTTTTAATAGTCAACAGGTAGTCTGTGGGGAAAAAATAATCCTACATGGAAATGCCAAAAGCCATAGTCCTTGGCTCCAGACCGAATCAGCCCCCATGTAAAAATGCCCAAATTCACAGCATTAAAAAGATTTTTATGGATTGGTACAAAATGTTTTTTCTCTCTACAGACACCTCCACCTTTCATAACAACTACACAGTGGACGAACACATTTGAATACTCCCAAGGTTTAAAGTTTAAAGTGAGCTTTGGTCGTTAGCTGTCTAGAAGGATTAACTCACTTGTATGTACCTCTCTGGCATGCTTGTGGTGTCGGTGCTTTCTGGGGCTATTGTAATGGAATTACTTGAAAAATATTGTGGCTCATTATAAGGTATAATCTCAGCCGCCATCTCTATATGACATTGTTGTCAGTCTTTATGAGCAGTGCAAGGAACAGCTCATTTATATTTCATGAGTCACTGGTGATCGACCTGTTCTGAGGATGTGCTGTGAGGTGTGGGAATTATGGGAGCTAGTGCAAATAATATGTGTTAAACATTGCAGACTGAATCTGAGCTGACGACAGCAGATGTTCTCTGTCACTGAGGAACCGATAAACATTTTAGAGCCATCTTTTTAAGCCTGAACAGCTCTTTCATCTTCAAAAGAAGATTTCTGGTGAAGTATCCATAACTTCCAAGCTACAGCTAAGCTGAGGGAGTGTTGCTTCAATTCTACATGAAAGAACGTCTGGTAGAAACATATCTACTTTTTGCTTCTGTCACTTTTGGTGTATACATAAAGAACATTAAGGGACTAACATATGATATAAATCTTTTCAAAATAAAGCAGTTCCAGGCATGTTTGTCAGCGCTGGGAAATTCTGCCAGTTTATCCATACTGCAGCACACTAGCTGTCATCACCCTGCCTGCTTCTCAGCTTACAGCAGATGGTCCGTGAGGGGTTAAACCTCCTGAACCTTCCACCCTTCCCGCTGTGTTGGCTTTCACCTCAGTACCAAATATACACACCAATACACAATGCAGCTCTCTCTCAGTTTGCCCTCAGTGCTTCCAAGTCACCGGCTGGGGAGCAAAGTGACACCATGCCACCAAGTGCCATCTTGCGCCTTTTTGGTGCCATGCTGAGCCCCCCAGGCAGCTCCAGGCAGGCTTATGTGCCTCTGGCCTCATCTCAGGCCCCATTGGTGCTGTGCAGAGGGGCCTGGAAGGAGCTGGCACTGGCCTGGCTTTGGCTTTGGCAACTGTTTGTTCTATACAACCTCCGTCTCTGTCTCTCTCTGGGGGCGATACTCCAAAAGTGTGTCTGTGTGCTGGCATGAAGACACAAGTAAAAATACATCGGTTTTCCCTCTACCAACATGGATTAGGGATGCTAATCTGTGAAAGCAACCACTGTGTGCCAAGTTATGTCCATGTACATGTGTGTGTCTGCAGGCAGCTGTGCACAATGTCACCTCATGACACCACAGTATTAATGGAGGAAGCTGGATATACAGAAACAGGACTGATCAGCTAGTGGCACTGCAGGCTGAAATCACACTGGTGTTATAGATAAACCCTTGTGACCCTCCACCACCTCACAGAGACTGAGTGTTAGATTTTGTTGATGTGGGCCTACAAAGAAGATTAAACTCTCTGGTAACCTTTAACAGCTGTCAGATATATGGTAAGGGTGCTGGAAAACATAAAAACATTTGGTTAAGCGCTATGCTAATGTGATGAATGAAGAAAAGCAGGAGGAGCATCTTTGCATGTCTTAAGAAGAGCTTAAAACTAGCACAGCACGAAGAAAGAGTTGAGGAAAACACTGGGGATTATTCATGTGGAGCGAGAAATGTAAGGCCTCTGTCGCTGATTCATTCCTTTCCACTTTTTGAAAAGTGAAAAGTGATTCACAACACCTCCACCTACTCTACCTGTCCAGGTTTCCACATACAGCTTACACTTCAAAAAACACCCCGCAGCTGATGTTGATACTGAAACAGAGCGAGACCAAAGTGAAAGGTAATTCTTCACGCTACTTGAGGAACGCTTTAGTCGGGGTGACGGACACACTCTGCAGATCCCAGCTGCTTATGGAGGATGTAGAATGATTCATGGGCCGTTCTTCTGTTGAGGCGAACGGGGGGAATTCAGTCTTATTATTAACTTTGTGGGGAGAGCATTTCAAGAAAATATGACACCTGGCTGCAAAGTGTTGCACAAGAAGCTAGAGCTTTGCTAGTTTTTAGTGGGGATCAGGGTTTGTTTGACCATATTCAGCTGCTTTCCGTTAGTGCAACAAGAGATGGTTATAGTTTTAAAGGGAGGTCGATACTAGGAGAAGCCTGAGTGAGGGGGATTAGAGGAAATGTGAATCTGCAACAGCTGCTGGAGGCAGGTTTGTCTAAATGAGCAGATTAAGAAAGATATCAGAGTAGAGCCTGGCTATCACTGTCACAACAATGATTCTGCTCATTATAGATGTCATCTGACAAGTCATATTATATGTCTACACAGAGAGAGCAATTAACTAGTCCCCAACTATGTTTGTATTATAAACTGACAGGATTTCTTGAAATTACCTGCTGGCGCTGTCAAAATAAACTTTTACTTTATAATGATTTTCTAAAACTAAAGGAAATAAGAGACTCTAGCAGCAAAGATTTAATTGGCTCTACCCAATCTCACTGTTAACAGGAAGCATGGTTATGGGGAAAAAAATCAAGAGGTGTTTGTTGGAAACCCATCTGACAGGAGAATGTTGTATTTTAAGGATCGAACATCTGCTAGTGAGAAGCTGCCAACTAACAGTGGCCTTTGGTCCCCTCCCTGCGAGACAGTTTTTCAGCTTTCCTGTCCAGTGGCGACAACTGTTATCTCTGTTGTCGGAGCTAGCTGTCATCTATCTACATTAACAGGCCTGGTCACAGAGGCCTGGGCAGTGGAGGCTGGAGAGAAGGGTGAGTGGGCCATTTGTGGCGGGGTGGGCTCCGGGTAAAGCTGCCAGGAGATCTGACACCAAGGTCAGGGGTGGTGTCTTAAGTTAACTCAGCCAAGTGAAAGCGATGATAAGAGAGCAGAGTGTTTGAAGTTTCCTCGGCACACCTCTGCTTTTAAAACGCAGCTAATATTATTTTTCGTTGAGTTTTATCTGTGATTTAGTTCATTACTGAAATTACATGATATTTGACACTTGTTATGTGGACTGCTTTTCTCAATATACACCATATTCTTTTGTTTCTTGTTGCCTCTGCTGCTTAGTATTTTGCCGAACCAGCAAAGCCCCTCTGCTGTGGAACCAGCTCCCAGTTTGGATTCAAGAGAGAGAGGGCATTCCCTACTTTTAAGTTAGACTTTAAAGGGCTGGAACCTGTGATGCTATAGGCTCAGGCAGCTGGGTGACTTCTCATGAGGCACTCTTTTTTTCTGTCTTCCCTCACCTCCCAGCCAACAGATCACAACAAATGGTTGCCCCTCCCTGAGCCTGGTTTTGTCTGTTAATACCGAGTTTGTCCTCCCCACCATCGCCCAGTGCTGCTCATAAGGAACCATCCTTTTTCTTGTGCTATAGGCTTTTTAATTTATAATACAAGCATAAAACACTGAAATCACGGTTGCTGTGAACCCACGCTAAAACACACACACACTCACACAAGCTCCACAACTGAGCCTTATAGCAAAAACATCAAAGACACTTACTTGCCACTTCCAGCGATGCATTGCGACTGACTGCTTCACCCAAGTAGTTGCGTGCCACACACACATACACACCCTCATCAGGTTTGCTTCGCCTTCCATGTACAATTCGCAGAAAGAAGAGGGAGCCGCTGGGTAATAGCATCCTGTGGGACCGAGGGTCCTCTCGATCAGTCTCGACCCGCTCTCCGTCTTTGTACCATTCCACCATCGGGGTCGGACGCCCCTCAGCCTTACAGTTGAGGGTAGCTGGCTCCCCCTTGGACACAATTAAATCAGAGGGATGCTCTACAATCCGAGGGGCGGCATCCTCTAATCTGGGTCGGGATCCTGGTGGGAAAAAGACACCACAGAGGAGAGACGAGTTAAAGACTACATTTATGGTGCATGTTTTATTGTGATACAGCCAATGTCATTTGACATATCACATCATGAGGAACACAGCATCTGCTTAGTCATTAATGCCAAATTATACAAAAACCTCATTTTAAGGCACTGAACTGAGTATAAGCCAAAGTTTGTACGATGGGAATACCGTAAAACTACATTGCTCACAGACTACGGATGTGAAGAACATGGTTACAAAAGCATACCAGTGGAAAGAATCGCACCTAACGAGCCTAAAAGTCCTCAGCCTTTTTTTTCCCTTTTTATATATTGGCCACTACACACAAAAGGCAAGTGGGCGGCAAAACTTGTAAAAACACACTCAGCTCGCCTATTTCCAAACCTCTTGAGCTGGACTGCAGCTGAACTCGTCATTTTATCACCAACAACAGGACTGTGTGAAATGAGCACATAATGTTACATTTCAAGTATAACTCGAGAGGACGTGTGAAATTACATGCTCTAAATTCAGCATCTATAAAACTAAAAGCAAATCCTCGAGCCGTGGATGAGAAGCATGAAGGCAGTAAAGGCGCAGGAACCACTCTGATCTCAAGCCGATGAGAAAGTAGGCTGACTGAACCGTGCACATACTAAGATACTGAACATGTATAATCAGCTCTGTACTTTACTTTCAAAGAATGCTTTGCTGAATGTTCTCGACAGGTGTTTGGGGTTCAGGTTTGTGCTAATCTGTCCAAATGTATTGAATTCTTGTTCAGAGCTCTGCAAGTTTTCTCATTCTCTTCTGAAAGTTGGATTGAAAGACAGAAGCAGAGAGAGATTAAAGTGGGGTAACTCCCCCAGGTTCTTCTACCACCTCCAAATGTTGCTCTCCTTCGCCCAATAATCAACCTCAATCAACCAGTTGGGACAACTAGTAAATCCATATTTTTTTCACAATGAAACATAGAAAACTTGTCAAATATGTAAACCGAGACACTTTAAAAGCACAATAAATGCTGAAAGGTTTATGGAAGTTTAGGATCAACATATGCACCCATCTATACCGCATACTGTGTCTATTACAACACCATGGCATCGTGCTGAACTGCCCTGCCTGCAGTCCAGACCTCTCACCAGTTGAAAACATTTAGCACATCATGATGTGATCTGATAACAGACAAGAACAGGACAACATTCCAGCAGCTGGTCTTCTCAGTTCCCAGACTTTCACAGACTGTTGTTCGAGTGTGGATGCTGTTCCTATCAAATTCAAAGTCACACTGTTTTTCTCTGTTTAAACATTTGACGTGTTTTTGTGTTTGAATTTAATCCAAATCATTACATTCTGTGTTTTTTGTTTTTTACATTTTAGACAATGCCTGATTTTTTATTTTTTTTTAGAATCAGAGTCGCAAATGATAGCATGACGGTCGTGCTGTAACGTTAGAAAAGCAATAACATAAACTCAAAAACCACGAGGCACAAGTGAAACATCACCCTGGAGAGCAAACAAAAGCAAGAGAAGAGGAGGTGCATCATCGTCTGTGTTTTTCAGACGCTTGTGGGATTCATGAGTGTATTTCTGATTTGTCTTGCCTCACCACTATACTACCAAGCCATGCTGTTTTGTAAATTATAAGAGTGCTGCAATGCTTAGCAATATCCTAATGTTGAGCAGTGTTGTCTTTTTAGAACATTCACAGCAGGAGATTAGCCTGAGCGCTGTGCATTTAACAGGAAAACAGAAAACATGAATTGCTGTTTATTTTTTAGGAGCGCTGCAGCTGAGCTCCAGACTGTAGTTTTATTCCACACCACTGAAGCCATGATTGTTCAAATAAGACTTAAATAGGTTTTGTCTAAATTGCTTTCAATCATGAAAGCTTTTGTGTAAATTTGCATGTAAAGAAGACTGAAAACGAAAAGAAGACAGAGCTACAAGTGAGCAGATAGTGACACTGTTGCATTTGGACGAATCTTTAACCTGGGAGGTGATCAGCTCCCTGTGCTTATCCTCTAATATTGAGAGATAGCTTAAAACGTGCCTGCAGCATAGGAAAGTTGTAGACTGTATGCTGCAGGGTGACAAAAAAGAAAGACAGCTACAATAGTTCATCCCACAGGTGCATGGATAAAAGGAAGTTCAAAGGTTAAGACTTTCCTGATAACGTCTGATAAGAAAAGCAGTCAAAATTCTCGCCTTCAAAGCGACAAATCCTCAAGAAGGTTTTGGGGGATTAAAAACTCCACTTAAGTGCTTCCTGCCGATGGGATATAGAGTACCATATGACAGTCTTGCTCTCGATGAAATTACATTCAAAGAGATAGGAAGCTCAGGATAGGAGGAAAATGTGCAAAAGCTTTGAAGTTGCTTTTAGTTAGAATCAAATAGAAGCTGGAAAGCATGCACTGAAAGCACGACACAAGATAAGGATACACCTAAAATTACATTTAAAACACTGTTATTTGTTATCTTGTATCAAACATTACCACTTTCTTCACATTTCAGTTGACTAAAATGTTTTTACAGTTTTCGTTTTTTGATTACTTTGAACTGGGGCTGAAAGTGGTTGTAATTTAATTCAAGAATTCATGATAGTTTAATTTATACAAACGATTCCCAAAAAAGCACCTTGTGACGGAAAATATAAGCCTGAACTTGCACTGATCAAATTTAGAATCAGCGCTGTCGTTTTCTTTGAAAACCCAAATGGAATTCTACGCTGCAGCACTACCAGAGAAAACTTTTGATGTGAAGGATTTCTAAAAATGAATCAAATAAAGTAATATTGTTAAAAGGTTGCTCTTCTGTCGAATGCTAACAGAAAACAGTTGTCATTTGGTTAAGTGCTCTCTGACCTCCCTCAAGGCCTCTGAGCTGTAGACTGTTCATCTAATAGCTTTAAGGTAGTAGCATCGTGGCTGAGCTGAGCCTGTCTGATCGGGGATATCTGGAAGAGAGGAAGGGGGGTGTCTGTTGTGAGAACTCAGCAGGGCACAGCCTTTAAGAGCTGACTCATAAATTTTACAGTAAAAGCTGGTTGGAACAAGTCATGTGGAAATGTAAAGCAAAGGCTTTTAAGTAGGACGAGACCATCATGTGCGACTGAGCTAAATATTATCAAGAGAACGTCCAAGTTGCAACCACTGAAGACCAACTCTTGACAGATCATACGCCTGCTATCCACAGCAAAGCAAGCTTGGAGAAATGAACTCTCTCCCACTGTAGGAATATGTGGCATGTCACACAGAAAACTACAGCTCCACTGAAAGGATGACAGCAAACTGTCACTGCACCTGAGAAATCTTCAACAAGTATTATGGGAAAATGTCATTTTCTCAGCGTATACAATACCCACATTGATTCTGACATAGATATGATGTTACAGAAAGGCAAAATGGTTACAGATCAACATAACAGAAAATGACTATACTGCTATGCATACAAGGATATTTGAATTTCTAAGGCAAGCAGCACTGCTCAGCTACTGAGCTCAAAGTGAGCGTAGACGTACGGTATGTAACGGATAAGGGCAAGGCTGGAAAAGATGAACTCTAATCAGGTTAAATGGACAGTTTGGAGTCTCGACAGTCTGACTGCTTGTCTTGAGAAGACTCTAATAGGAACGTCTGGGCCCTCTAAGGACCTATTAGCTCCCGTCCATCGTGTAATACGGATGGCAGCAACTCTCAATGATACATGTGAGATAATAAAGCCACAGGGATGCTCTAGGAGTCTATCCTGTGAGAACTGCAGTCTGGTTAACAGGGAGTGAAGAAAAGATGCAATACTGTCTAAATTATCAAATCAAAAACAGATATTGTGTGAGAGTTCCTGTTTAGATCCTGTTGCGAAAATTGTTTTTATTTCCTAATTAAAAAACTGGACAAAGAAAGACAAGAAATGCAATATGAAACTTTCTGCAGCTTTGCAGTCACCACATCCCATCTACAGGAGAAACTTCAAGACATTCTCATCACGGCTAAAGAACAGGACTATTGGCAATAATGAATTATGTAACGCTGTACAATGCAAGGATAAAGGCTGTGCAGTGTTGTTTTGTTACACTGCTGAATGAAGGGTAAATTTAGACAAAGGGTAAATTCTTGGGAGTAACCAAGGAAAAGTCAACAAATTAACATGTGGATATAATCTAAGTGCAAAATCTCAGGCTCCTTAATGTCATCCTCTCCAAAAACAGGTATGGGCAACAGTTCATCAGTAGTAACATTTCTGGCAGACTGAGAATTGCAGATTGAGCCCAACCAATACATTAGTGGGGGCAATATATAAGATATCAGCTATTTGCTGATATACTAGCCTCAGCACATAAAGAATAGACAAGAGAAACACCTTATAAGCACATTAGAAGGGTTGATAATGCAGTCTGTTCCCCAGAGGGCAAAGTAACTAAGTACAGTAAGTTATTAATTCACTTGTTGTGACTTGTAAATAACTACACTTGACAAATGATTTGAGTGTCTAAAAGATTCAGATCAAGTTTTTAACTCACCAAACGTTCGGGTCAGTGTTGATCCTACATCTGTATCAGCTGACACTAATCTAGACCAACCAGACTTTCTAATATTTCCAATTATTGTCATCTTTACTTCACTTTCTGCAAATATCTCTCAAGACTATGTCTGAAAAATGTCTTTAATTGAACTGTTTCTGATGCATGAACTGTAATCTCTCATCTATGAGGGGAACCCCCCCCCCACCAACACCCCACCCTCACTGCATCTACAAACTCATTAGTCTATAGTGATAATGCTGGCAGGGCTGTGATCAATCGCGGCTTCTGGTAAACCTAGTGGAGTTTTTCTTTTTCAGGTTTAATCAACTACAAATGTGCTACAGGTGTGCTGTCTATCTGCATTGTTACTACATCACAGTAATTCAAAGAGCAGATAGTTGGACATCTTTACCTTAAAAATTAAAAGTAAAATAAACGGAAATAAATAAATCAGATCTAATTTTTTTTACATGTCAGTAT